TTTTTTTTTGGTTTTTCAAGACAGGGTTTCTCTGTGTGGCTTTGGTGCCTGTCCTGGATCTCGCTCTGTAGACCAGGCTGGCTTCGAACTCACAGAGATTCGGCTAGCTCCGCCTCCTGAGTGCTGGGATTAAAGGCGTGCACCACCACCTCCCAGTTTAGGCACCAAGATTTTGAAAGACCTTTCCAGATTATTCTTTTTTTTAAATTAAGAAAATTTTCATTCATTTTACACACCAATCAGAGATCCTCCTCTTCCCTTCTCCCGCCTCCCCATCCTCCCCCTCCCAACCCACCCCCCACTCCCCCCCACAAGAAGGCAAGGCCTCCCATGTGGAGGTACATTCAGTAGAGGCAAGTCCAAGCCCTTCCCCCGCCTCAAGGCTGCATGAGGTGTTCCATCATAGGTATTGGGCTCCAACCCCCTCCCCCATGTACCAGGGATGGATTCTGATCCTACCACCAGGGGGCCCCCAAGCAGATCAAGCTACACAACTGTCTTGCCATGCAGAGGGCCTAGTCCAGTCCCATGCAGGCTCCACAGCCATTGAACCAACTTTCATGAGTTCCCACTAGCTTGGTTTGGTCATCTTTGAAGGTTACCCTGTCATGATACTGGTACATTTGCTCATAGACTCCCTCTTCTCTCTCTTTGACTGGATTCCTAGACCTCTGCTTGGTGTTTGGCTGTGGATCTCTGCATCTGCTTCCATTAGTCATTGGAGGGAAGCTCTGTGATGACAGTTAGGGTATTCACCAATCTGATCACTGGGGTAAGCCAGTTCAGTTCAAGCACCCTCTCCACTATTTCTAGTAGTCCAAGCTGGGGTCATCCTTGGGGATTCCTGGCAACTTCCCTAGCACTGGGTTTCTCTCTATCCCCATGATATCTCCCTCCATCATGGTATCTCTCTCATTGCTTTCCTCCTCCATTCCTGTTCCAGCTCAACCATCTCATTTCCTTATGCTCTCATCCCTTATCCCCTACCCTCCATTGCCCACCCCTCATCCCCAGTTTATTCATGGAGATCTCATCTACTTTCCCTTCCCAGGGTGATCCATGTGTTCCTCTTTGGGTCTTCCTCGATAGCTAGCTTCTCTGGAGTTGTGAGTTGTTGCCTGATTATCCTTTGCTTTACATCTAGTATGCACTTATGAGTGAGTACATACCATGTTTGTCTTTCTGAGTCTTGGTTACCTCACTCAGGATGATATTTTCCCCAGATGATTCTTTATGTGGCCAGGGTGGCACAGTGGTGACCTACATCTGTCAGCGTCTTGTCATTATTTGGCTAAGGGTTGAGTTTTTCTTCGCCATTTGGATAGACAAAAAAAAAAAAAAAAAAAAAAAAAAGGATGGGACATATCTGGTAGCTGCTCTCCCCAGTGAAGTTTCAGGAGCTTCTGGAGTCGTGTTTGTTGCATGACTAGAGCACGTAGCATTCACAAGGGGCACAGTATTTCCATGTCCTTTGACCATTTAGAGAGAGAGAGCTATCCATGCTTTTTCCACAAATGTCACCACGTTGGTAATCATGCTTCTTTCAAGTCCCTGAGCATCCAACCAAACCAGGGGCTACAGCCCATGAATAAGTATGTGACCATACATCTGGCCATTTTTGTCTCTTTCCAAGCAAAATGTATGACTATAGGAACTGTCTGAGGAGGAGAGAGGGTCACAAAATGAAATTCCACTAGAGGGAATTTCTGTAAGCTCTACAGGGGAGCTGAGAGCAGAAGTTGTGGGCCTGCTGGACAGACAAGAGATAGTGTAGTGGGACAGCAGGCGGACTGCAGTTCCCAGAGGGAGAGAAAGCTAGGAGAGAGCACAGGAAAGGAAACCAGTCAGTGTCTTTAGTAGAGAGACCCAGACAGGTGCAGCAGGCCAGAACCAAGAGAAAACTGCCCATGTGGTGGGCACCCCAAGGGCGTAGCAGGCTCCAGGAGCTAAAGAGACACTTAAGGCATAGACAAAGGGAGGAATGGTTAAGGGACAAGGAGGAACAAGCAGGAACTCCACCCACGGGAGGGTTCCAATATCGTGGAAGCCGTAAGAGTGTAGAGAAGCTGCAGGACTTTCAGACAGGAGCGACAAGGTTCCAGAGGCCCCGAAGGACTCAAGGAAGCTGTGGGAGTTAGCAGGCATCTTCTAGGAGGCAAGGAAACTCACAACACAAAAGGGAGAGATGTCCACATGGGTGTATCCAGCCAGAGGTGTAGCAGGCTGCAGAAGCCAGAGAAACAAGTAGGTGCCCATGTGGAGGGCATAGCAGCCCCGAGCCCAGAGAGTTGAAAGACAATAGTTAGAAAGCAAGTACAGGGAAGAAGTGACAGCTGAAGAATGGGACTCTAGAACTTGTAATCAAATTTTGTAGGTGGCAGAAGCCAGCAGAAACAAATGGTCCGTACATGCCTTAGGGGAGGATGCTGCAGGGGGAGGAGAGAGACGAACAAGCCGGGGAGGGGTGTGTACTGGGTGTGTGCACCCTATGGCTGGCCAATTCCTTTGCTTTCTCCCCCTCCTGCTGGGTCTGGCTCCCAGTTCCCACTTTGCAATAAACTTACAGATCCATCAATGGTGACTTAAGACAGGACATTGTAGTTGGAAGTTTTTCTGTGTCCTGGCCAGCTGGCAGTCGGGACAAATCTCTCCTACTCCTCATCCCCCAAGTAAGCATACAGAGGCTTATATTATTTATAACTGCTTGGCCATTAGCTCAGGCTTATTACTGACTAGCTCTTACACTTAATTTAACCTGTAATTCTTATCTATATTTAGCCATGTGGCTTGGTATCTTTTCTCAGTTTTGCCTTGTCATCTTGCTTCCTCTGTGTCTGGCTGGTGACTCCTGACTCAGCCTTCCTCTTCCCAGAATTCTCCTCATCTGCTTGCCTGCCTTTACTTCCTGCCTGGCTACTGGCCAATCAGTGTTTTATTTATCAGCTAATCAGAGCAACACATATTCACAGAGTACAGAATGACATCCCGCAGCGGGACATTTACACATTTACACAGTGTATGGGGAAGACCGGATAAGAACAAACAAGGCTTAGAGCTGAGAAAAGAGAGGTAGGGGTTGGGGAACCTCTTCTTCCCCATCCCCCCTCATCACTTGTGGTACTTAAAAAGGTCTCAAACAATATTGAGCCTAGGCTGCTGCTAGTTGGCCACGTTTGGATTGATTATTTAAGGGATATTGAGGCCAGATTTGATTGCAAAAAATGAATAAATTAAGAGCCTTTCAGGTGGAGTGCCAGGTAGAGAGGTGGGAGGTATGGAGAATGTCATTCCCATTGGTGAGGAAGTGAAGAAGGTCCTAAGCCTGTAGCCTATGCCATCCCCAGGACTCAGGAAGGATTTAATGAACAAGACACAAACGGATCAGTGGGTCATCACTGTATTCAATGTGGGTTAGAGCTAGTAGCCCAAGGAGAGTCAGTGCCTGGTACCAGGCCTTTCAAGTGAAGCTAAAAGGTGAAAACCAAGCTCAAAATTGAAGTCTCACCCATGGAAAAGGGTAGGAAGCATGGTGGGTACCTCTAACTCCAAGAGTACCCAAAACTCAGGTAAGCATTTACACTGACTGACAGGAATCACTTACCAATGGCCAGTGATGGATGGAGGACCAAGTGATTGGTGGGCCAAAAAGTGGGTCTGTTGTGGGCGGCGTGGATGGGTAGGGTCCTGGCGTGGCTCAGATCCTAAGAAGAATCACAGCTACCAGGAGGGCCTATCTGAATCACAGCACCAATGGAAGGGTTTTGCCATGAAAGGAATCCTGGAGATTGGAGGGCCAAAAAATGTCACAAAGATCACACCACCAAACAGACCTTACACAAGAGATTTGGGGATGGATGTTTTAAAATATTTGTTTAATTGTGTAAAGATGTGTTGCTGTTTTACCTTGCCTGCCTAAGGCATCTGATTGGTCTAATAAAAAGCTGACTGGCCAATAGTGAGGGAGGAGGTTATAGGAGGGACTTCCAGGCAGGGAGACTAAATAGTAGGAGGAATTTGGGGGATGAGAAGAAAAGGAGACTACAAGAAGACACCAGGGGCAGCCATCCAGAAATGGAGGAATTGCAAAGTAGTACATACAGAATGAAAAGAAGCTAAAAAGCTCTGAGGCAAAATGTAGATGAATAGAAATAGCTTAAATTAAGCTAAAAGAGCTAGTGGGACAAACCTAAGCTAAGGCTGAGCGTTCATAATTAATAATAAGTCTCCATGTCCTTATTTGGAAGCTGGTTGATGGCCCAAAGAAAATTCCAACTACTGCTACTGGGGTGTAGTGAAAGGCTACCTCTGAGAGGGATGAGGAGGAGGAAGAGGAGAAGGAGAGAGAGAGAGAGAGAGAGAGAGAGAGAGAGAGAGAGAGAGAGAGAGAAGGAGAGAGAGGAGGGCATGCCATGACGGTGCTGACTTTATGGAAGGGTATGGAACATATGCATAGAGAAAATACGTAACAGTGGTGACGTGTCACACTGGCCTTTAGTAACCACTGATGGTGGGGTGGGGCATGGGGAACACCTGATTCTGGAATGTGGGCAGTTCTAACATTGCGTAGGGAGGAGGATCCACCGATATGGACATTAATGATTTTTGACTGATTTTGCAGTTTGAAAGCATTGGAA